GCTTCCCTTCTGTAGCAGCTGTGCTGGAGAACTGCTGATGAGGAACAAAATGAGAGCTACTGAGCAATCATTTGGAGACTGGCTATTAAAAAAAAAAAGCCAGCTAATTAGAGCTTAGAGGAAGAGGCAACACTTTGTGCAAAAACACCAGAAGGTAGGCCCTCCAAATCCCATACACTCCCTGTAAATAGCTATAATTAACCCCACAGTATTCAATTTATTAATTAAAATTTAATTAATATTTTCTGTCCTTGACAATCATCCTAGAGGCGGTCAGGAAAACATAGTGGCAGCTGGGTTTCCGTAGAGCAGCAGTGACGTTCAAGAGGGCAGAGGCACAGGAGACTCCTCTCAGTCTCCCTGTCATATCTGTGATAAAACAGAACTGAAACTGGTCACTGGATCACTGGCAAAGAAGGGGAGGATGGGTAACAGTGCAAGCCCCAGTCTTCTTCTGCACACTTTCAGACATCACCCTACAAAAGCAGCACACACTTGGGTTATTTGAAAGTGTGAGAGGGAGGAGTAGTGAGGAAATGAATGTCATTATTACTTATTTGACCACACCAACTGAGGGCTGCTGTACAGCACTGTGTTTCACTTGGTTTTGATGTTCTGCTTGGTGCTTTGTCCGAGTAGAGTGAGCTCAGCAGAGATACCTCTCCTGAATTTCATGGGCCCCATCAAAGTAGAACAGCTATTGCTTAAAAATGCTGTGTCTGTATTAGTAGCTTGGTGCACTCCTGTTTTGCTCCAGGGTTGGTTTTCCTGGTCATTCATACTACCCATGGTCAGTATGTCAGACACCCGTCAGTGTCTGAGCTCTCTTCTGGAACAAATCTGTTGGTATCCCCAAGGGGAAACTTGAGTGTCGTCAACGATGTAGTTCACTCCAGGGTTTGCTCCAGACAGACAGGATAGATGTGGAAGACACCAAATGTATTTCCTTCAACAAGGACAGTGTTTCAGCATTATTCCAGGTTAGGCAATAGCATAATTTGTGCCCTCACCCATCCTTTTCCTAGGGCATGCCAACGATTTTTTCTGGCATTGTAATGTTTTTGATGCAGCACTGCTCTGCTGGCCTGCAGCATACACCTGTTAGTATTCTCCATACTTTGAACTGAAAAAAACCCCACCAAGCCTTTGCACAGAAAATAACAACTGTTAGCTACAGGGTCACAAGAGGAGACATGAGCCGAGCACTATGCAGCATGGCTGCAGCCAGCCCACTCAGTAGGGAGCAAACTCTTAACAGTGTGGTCGTGAGGAGTCCTGCAAAAACTGGCGTGTGGGCCAGGGTCTGCAGTACAGGCCTGGTGAGAATGGCCATGAGGTAAAGAAGGTCTTTTATTCCCCATTTAACAGAAGGGTGCAGACTGACTCAGCATGAGAACATACTTGGAGTGTGTTGAAACCAGATCTCTCAGGTTACGGGGAAAAAGCTTTCAGTACAGAACTGTTAGATTTTATGTTAGATCTGATGCAAGTGCGGAGAGGAGATGGGACACAAGCACTATCATCACCTCCATCTTCTTGTCTTCTCTCTGCTCCTCTGGATGAGACATGATGGGTTAGGCAGGTTTTTGATACACCTAGTGGATCAGGCCCTTCTGGTAGTGAAGTGGCATGCCATTTCTCAATCCTAGGGAGGCAGGCACCAAGCTGTTCAGCACTATGAGGTCAGAAGTGCTTCTGAGCACACCCAGAAGCAGAACTGGAGGTTCCTGGGGAACGTCAGCATTAGAAAAGATGAGTGTCACAATTTGGAGTCTCTTTGGCCTCTGGGCTTTGGTGCATAACTGCAACTTTAGGACCATTACAGACTCTGCTCTTACGGTCTCTCCTGTGGTCACACGAGAAACCAGCCTCAGGCCCACTAGACCATGAGTTACATCTCCCCATCAGTTGCGTGCTCCCAGACATGGCCAACACTGAGGGGCAATGGGGGGCTAGAATGAACAAGTTCTTTACCCTTGTGGGAAAAGAAGTGCCTCTGATGCCCTGCGAAGGTGCTCACGCAGGGCTGTCCCCAGTCTGCCAGTAGCAAGACCAGAAGGGCGGAGATGAAGATGCCATTGCTATTGCAGTGGTTCTGTTGGCTTCAATCTGGGACACCCGATACGGCAATGTTGAGTCACAGGAGCATTTAATCTTGTGTTGCCACACGTGATGAAACAGGCCCAATCCGTTGTTACACTGTTGGTAATTCTAACAGGTAGATTTCAGTAGAACTGAGGGAGATGGAGATAGATGCCAAGAATCACTGCAGCCTTCATCCCAAAATGAAACTCCAAATAAGCACAGTAACTGTCCAAGAACTATTGCAACTATTGTCTGACTTTGTGTGCATGATTTAGCCTTTTCTTTCTTTCTTTCTTCCAATCTAGTAAATGATTTTAACTGAATTTTTAGAAATGTACTTCCTGCACCTCTCCAAAATTCACCAGCTTCTCTGACTTTTACAAAAAGAAGAGTGGGGGAAAAAAAACAAACCCCAGGCAACTCACTGCTAAGATTTGAATTCGACATTCATAACAACAAATAATCCAAACGATTTTTGCTTTACTGTTAGTCATTTGTACTAACCTGCAATTAAAAGGCTCAGCATTTGTTCTCATCTCTTTCTGAAATTACATTTTCCACTTCCTAGGCCCTGGCCTCAGGCAGTGGATTTTTGAAGCAATCATGCCTTGATAATTAATGTTTAAAGATGAATGTTGCAACTTTTAACACAGTGTGTCGCTGAGTAAACATCCAGCAACGCCTGGTACCAAAAAAGAATACAAAAAATACAAGGCTTTTACTGGAAGCTGCAGGTTTTGCGAACATTATCCTTAGAGCTCCCAGCTGCAGTACGTTCGATTACCCCTTCCTCTATGCTTGTGGGTGGGGGAGACTGCCATGCTTAAAAAAAGCAGAAGAAAATAAATACCACATCTAATCTGTCAGTTCTTTGTGCCACTGACTCATCACCCTGGAAAGCTTGCTGGGAACGATTAGCTCATACAGAGAGGGAGGAGGCAAATCTTTGACAAGTGATGTGTAGTTGTAAGACGACCAGTGCCATTTTGGATTTTTGCAAAAGGGGAGGAGGACAAGGGATGGAGCGGGAGGAGGGGAAGGGGTAAAAATGGAAGATGAGGGGCCAACGTATGGTCAGAAGTTCCTTTTGTATTTCATGTCCCTTCGTTTGTCCCGAGTCTGCCTTTTCTCTGTAGAAGCCACAGCTTCCAGTCTGTTACTAACCCAGTTGGTTTTACCTGTGATAGCAGCCCATCCTACGCAGGGCTTCTGTATGTGACACCAAGTGCTCCTCAGTAGCATTATCCGAATCTCTCATTGCAGCATTTTTTGGTGCTTTAGAAATTAAGTTACTGTATCATCCCTTTCTAACAGAAATCCATAGCAACTGAAAAGGCAAGTGGGAAAATCAGCAACTTTGGCATTTCAGGAAGGGGAAAGGGTAGTCTGGATTGAGACTGCCTTACTTCAGGCATCTGACTTGGGCATTGCAATCCTGATTCAGACCTTTTGGAAGACACACCTTGTGCCTAACATTTCCCAATCGGTTGGCACGAGGCAGCTGCCTCTTCACCTGAGACTCCTAAGACAGGAAAAGTGGGGAAGTAGTCATGTGGTCTTGTGAGTGGTTTCTGTCAAAAGTGGCAGGGGGGTCACACTGTACCATGGTAGGGGTCTGGTCATGCCAGGGACCCCATACTGCATCCACTAGTTTGGTACGTCCCCTTCCAATCTCATCTCTTAGTGCTGTTTCCCATACACTGAAGCCTTTCCTGGTCTGGCAGAGGCCAGTGACAAAATCCTAAACAGATCAACTGGCGCAAGAACAGAATACTACTTTGGGCTAGTTTTCTTTTTTTTTTTTGTTCCCCTCTTCTACCTTCCAGAAAAGAGAAGGAAATTCCCAGTCCACACACAACTGTTGTGCAGGTCGGCAAACGAAGTTCAGAGCAGGTGCTTTGGGCTTTGTTACTCTTTGATGTTCTTTCTGCTCAGAAGAAACCAAAACCCAAAGAGCTCCTGGGAGAGCTCCATGTGTCTGATTCTGCAATTAAGTGTGAAAACGGAACCTCCCAAATAAGCTTGCCTTTCTGGAAGTGAAGTTCAGTCTCTAAGAAAGATTAGTAAGAGAAACATTCAGCACTAGTCATGCTCATTTGGGTAACAGGCAAGTTTCTGCCTGTGCTCACTTCTAGTATTCATTATGAATGTGTATTAGTGACTTCCTAAGCAGTAATCCCAGCTGAATAGTAAATGAAGTATTGCCTTCTGCTTTAATAATTTCCTGTCCTTTTAGCATTGTTTATATACCATCAACAGCTTGCTGATACATTAACTGTATACCCAGTGTGTGGCTATTTTATTATCCATTGCTTTAGTTATCTGCCCAGATTGCTGATCCTAAAAGGATTAAGCTAATTTTTAGACTATTTTGCTGTTGAAGCACAGTGGGTTTGAATTTATTTTTTTGGTTTTTTTGGCTCCTTTAAAAGTTTTCCAGTAAAGATGAGGACCTATTTGTACTAAATTTAAGCCTGCTCAAAATAGCTTGCTTGCGTTTTTTCTGTTGATTTTTCACAGATCCCTTAAAAAACAGAGGTCCAGAGAACACTACTGCAGGGTACAGGGTGCTTCAGTTACACTACATGTTAACATGACACAGGTCGTTCAGCATTTTGCGAAATTGAAGCGTTACCAAGCCCCATGGAATGGAAAATGCTTCGGGAGTAAAAGCAGTGTGTTTTTCAAGAAGTGCTAAATCCTAAACAGATCATTCAAATTGAGTGTAATAAAGACTCTACTACAGCTAATGAGAAGATTTTGTTCAACCTCAGTGGGCTCTCAAACAGGCGGAGATAATACGCTTGCCCTTGCTAACAGCGTTCACTTAGCTGTGTTTCCTTTCCTAGACTGGGAATTAGATTTCCTTCTCCATTTTTTGTAGAGAAAGACTCAAATTACTCAAGAAGATCATGTGGGAGCCACCACGTTTAGAAGAAGGAGCTGCATTTGAATAGAAGATACCACCCAACTTCATGTTCAGCCATTTAGCTTTAGTCAAAATAAGCATCCTTACCGTGCTTTTGAGCTGATGCCCTACAACAGACCGTACCAGTCTACTGCATACACTGCCTTGCTGCAATGAGGGACTGTAAAAGAGCCCGCATAAACAAACAGCAAGCAGCCATCTCGTGCCAGCTCACACACGTGTGTGCATGTGTTCACACTGGTGAGCATGTATACTAAGCCATCCAAGTTTCTACACCTAAGGTTGGAAATGTTTATCTTTTTTTTCCTAGGCTCCATTCCCAGCTTACTCCAAATCCTGTCCCCAGACTTAACATACTTTGTTCTTACATTGCCTACTTTGAAGTCTACGGACCCGAATTGGGCAGGCTCCCAGCACCCTGAGTTGTCTCTGGACCAGACATTTTATCTAGAGGACATTTTGAAAGACGTATGACTCTTGACTTCCAAGGCCATTTCATAAGGACCAGGACTGGTAAAGAAGCAAGGCACAGAGCAATTTGATCAGGGGCACAGTCACCCAAGTGTCAGGGATGAGGGTAAAATTTAGGGATCTGCCTTTCTACTTGCACCAGAACATAATTTGCTGTCTTTGTTTTGTTTTGCCTTTTGCTCTTTCTCCTCCTTACTTCTTCACTATTAGAATTAAAATGGTAATTTATGTTCCAAATTCCTTTTCTTGTTCTAAAACCAGCAATGAATGCTGTAGGTTTTTCTGAAGGAAAACCTTTTTCTAAAGGTGCCACAAGCTACAGTTTTCTCTCTAGGAGCATGGGATAGGGAGAAAAAAGCTCCATTAGTGACCTTTTTGCTATGTAACCTTTCCTTAAAATGCCAGCAACTGAGCTTCCACAGAGAGAACAACAAATATTGAGAGAGGAATGTGAAGGACATTATGAAAGAAGAAAGCAAGAAAAGGGATCTGCTCAGACAAGTTTATCAGGAAAGGTGATGTAATATGTACTGTAGAAAATCCTAGCGGTTGACATAACTTACTCTCTTTCTAAGTAGCTGTGGCTGCCAGCAGGCTGGGAGAAACAAAACGTACAGCTGGGAATACAGCTGAGCAGACTGTTTTGTCCAAAAGAAATATAGTAGGTGTAAAACTTGTTTTCTAAAGATGTCATTGAAGTTTAATTGAAAAGTGTCCTATTAATTAAGTCTGAGCGACCAATGGATGAAAGTCTCATTTCTGTTGGGGCTGTTCATGGTGATACTGTAACATTAACTCCTGCATGCTGGGAGTACTCAAGATGCTGCTGTTGGGATGCCGTGGTATGCAGTTCTGTTACAATCACACAGTCGCATTCCTAGAGTTTAGCAAATGTTTAACAAGCTTTTTAACAGCTGTCTTGAAAATTGCCTGGCTTTGTATTGACTGACTTGCACATATTCAGCCTGGTTTCCTACAAAAATGACTTAGCATGTGTGTTGTGTGTGTGTCCACATCCGTGTATATACAGTTTGGGAACCTCCCTCCCTGTTACAACAGACCTGACAGAGAGGCACAGGGTCTTTGAGATATTGAAGATACTGGAATTTTGTGGAAGCAGGTGGGTGGATACTGAAGAGGGTCTGGATATTCTCTGCAGGGGAGAGGCTGCAGGGAACTGTGCTCTCAGTCGGCCTTGGAGACTCCAAGAGGCCCAAATCCAGAGGATCCCAGGTTTTCTTATTCCACTTCTCACAGAGCTTACTAGTTTAAAGATCTTGGCTGCAGCCTGAAATGTTTAATCTTTAAAAACACTAGCTCTTCTACTTTGTCCTTCCTGGTACATGTACAGAGCAAAATGCTGCATGTGCAGAGACTGGTAAACACCAAGTGCCGTTAGAAGAATGAATATATCAGTTTTCAGGTTCATAAGTAGGCTAGTTCATAAAAATTGGATAAACTGGTAAACAAAAAGTCCCAGCACATGGACTATTGTGGATTTATTCATTATTACCTACAGAGGAAGAGCTGTACAGGAGGAATGCCTATTATGAAAATTATATTTAGTTGTAGGACTGAAATACATGGTCGTTACCTCCTTTTTACAAACAGTGCTAGCACTGTTCAGACAGCCAGCAGGCATGGTTTCATACAAAAGAATGTGTGGTTATTTTCATATGTTTTTTGTGAATAAGGCCGGACAAAGCTGCAGGAGATCCCTAATGTTTTTGATGGGACTACTGTCATGTCAAAATGTCATGTGCTACCTTCTCGCTTTACTGTAAATTGGCTATAAGGAAAACAAAGGCAGTAGGACCGACAGTACTAGATGTTGTCTTGGAGCGGGAGGTCGAGGGACCCTGTTGAATCCTTAGGAATGTCTGAATATTCTTCCTCTCCCTCTGCTACATACCCACTCCTTTGCATTTTCTCTTTTGTTCTAGGTGGAGCCTGGATAAGAGCTGTCAGGAGAGCTTTTTAGCTGGATTGAGGCTACCAAGTGATAGCGATCTTGCACCACCGTTTTAGAGGACTGGCACCAAAAAGCCTGTGGTTATGCCAAGTGCTTTACAGGACAAATAACACTCCCTGCTTCCTCAACTGCCTAAAAATCAAGCCATTGATACTGAGCTTCTATCTGAATACGGTAAGTCAGGCCTCAGAAGCCTGCATTCATTGCACGATTGAGTTTAAAATAATTACAGTTGCCAGCCTATCATACAACTGTTTTAAACCAAGCCGGGGGAAAAATCACTAGAGCACAATGCTGTGTAGCTGACACTCATATTGCCAGATCTCTCCCTTTGTACTAAAACTATAGTAAATGGGGTCTTGTTAGTACACCCTAGCACTGTGTTGATGTTGAGTTGCATTTCAAGAACTCCCTCAGTTACAGCAGTGCTGAGGCCAGAAAACTGCAGTGGATCACTGGAAAAGCCCTGTCCACTGTCAAAAACAGTCTTGCTTCTTGGCCATGACAAAAGCTCAAGATTTCTCTGTGCAACTTCAGTTTAGTTCCTAAACTGGAAAGTGCAGAAGACATCTCCTAAGCTGGCCAGTTACTTAAGCGAATGAAGTGGCAGTCTACTTTTTTCACTAGAGCAGAAAAACAAGGATCAGAAAGTGATGTTACCAATCAAGTGACAAGTCTCTATCCCTAAAGTATGCCAAAGGTTACTGTATCACTAAAGAGACGGTAACCTTTCAAAAACCTCTCTATCCAGGATACAGTATCCCTGAAGTATCCCTTAAGGTTACTGTATCCCTAAAGATACAGCAGCCTTTCAAAAAGCTCATCTTGGGTTTTCCTTGCAATTTGCTGGGCTCTGTTTAGGAGAAAGTTTCCCCCAACTAAAACCTTGGTAGCTAGAGAGGTGGGGGAGGAAGGGCAGTGTAACTGGTTGCTCTCCTTTTGCATAGAGATGAAAACCAGCTGGTTGACCTTTAGGCCAGCATTTGATAAAACTTTGTTCCTTTGCTATTCCCACTAAATCCTTTCTGGTGTCACACTCACATATGCAGCCCTTTCCCATTCCCGCATAACCCCCATGCATACTCTTGCTTCTTTATAAAAGTCCATTTGTGGTTTGAAAAGCTCGTATCAGAAACAAAGCTATTTAAATCTCTCGTGATTTCTTATGTTTTTTCTTTTGGTGTCAGCACAGTTGCTAAAAGTCTGAGAATTGTTGTTGCTCCCATTTGAATTTCTTCCCCTCCCCACCCCTAAACCGTGTGACATTTTTAGCTTCAAACTGTACAGCAAGGAGCACATTAAACATCAGGTCTGAGAGAAATGGGAAACAACATGATGGGGCTGCCGCTTTAGGTGCTGCAAACAGCCCAACTCTCCATATTAAAAATCAACCACTTTTTTGGTTTAAAGTGTGAACAGTCCATCAAAAACCTACATGAAATCCATTTTCTGGGTGATGGAATGTATGCCTGCCTAGTTTGCTTCCTATTAGGTTATTAACACTTACTGCATCTGTAACTGCTGGTTATTGGAGGAAGGACTTAACTTTCTACCAGAACCCTGGGACTAATTAAAACATTGCCATTAACATTTAATGAGAAAGTTGTTACTTTCACCAGTAAACTGGCTTAGACTCTTAGTCCCATAAAGCACAAATGGCACATACTGAATCATAGTTAACAAGCGAATTTGGGGAAAAACGCAGTCAGAGGAGTGCAGCTTGTTGCATAAGTTGAAAATGATTCATTGCTTTCTTCTTACTTTCCCCACCAGTACTGGATATTATATATGCTAACTAGTATTCATCTCTCAGCAAGGCATCGAGACCTTGTAGGACCAGTTCTTTCTTCCAGTAAGACCTTTGCATCATAAAACGGCCCAGACAAAACATCCCCAGGGGAAAATTCCATGCTTATAGGAACTTCCAAGCCAGGGTATAGCACCATTTGCTTGCCTAGCTGCTTGTCTTGGGTGGAAGAGAATGGCCTGTTACAAAGCAATGGCCAACACAAATGGAGAAGCACAAGTAAGACACTTGAGTGTGTGTCTAATGGAATATCGAGGGCAGGAAAGGAGGAAGTTTTGCTCCTCTTCTGTGCCAGCCTTGGGCAGAGGAGCAGATCTGGTAAATTTTAGCTCTGTATATCTATCAGCCAATTCTGCTGTCTTATTGTTTGTACGTACACACAGTAAACTAGCCAATTCTATCTTCTCTGGTACCAAGTTATACTTCATTTAAAGTGGTTGGATTTACACTGAAGAAGCACCGCATGAGGAGAGTAAAGTTTGGAGACTATGGGTCCTCATTACTAATGTTATAAAGGTTAAAAAAAAATACCGCAAGCCATTTCACAATGCATTTACAGAGAGAACGGTAAGAGCAGTGAATAGTGCATTTTATTCTAAATGTTTCATTTAATGAAGATTAAATACACATCTGAACACTGTCACTTTGGGGTACATTCCTAATCTGGCTTTGCTCTTGCTTATAGCGGTACAAATCAAGAATTACTCTACTGAAGTCAGCAAAGTCATTACCCTGTATTAAACTCAAAAGAGAGTGAGTCTTGCTTTTTACCTCTACAGCAAATCCCGTTCAATTCAGTATGAATACAGTGGTACGTTTAAGTGCAATGCAAGAACAGAGACAATTGGTAAATCTGTGCCCTAAATTCAGTACAGAGTTCTTGAGCTGAATTTCCATCTGAGTACTCTTGAACACTGCAGCACTAAATCTCCTTTTCCTGCAGTGTAATCTAGTTTCTTTTCCCCAGAAAGAATTATATTTTACTTTTTGTAAACAGAGGCCACATGAAACACATGGCAAAAACCTCAAAGACCGTAGCTTATATATATTAAAAAAACAACAACCCACAAACTTCTGTTTTGAAGCTAAATGCAGTTTTTGAGTTTATCAGCATTTTTTATTCCATACCAGTTTTCTACATAGTGGAAAATATACACCCTTAGGAGGGTAACAACTATGATAACTCGTTAAAAAACAAATTATCTAGGAAAGTAATTTTTTCCATTATGAAGGTGGCTTGTCATATATTAGTAAAATGAATTAGTCACATAGCACACCTTTCACAACCTCAAAAGAATTAGATTATAGCCCATACGTTCCCATGTGTAACAGGAGCAGCTCTCTTTGTACACACACCACTATCACTCCACAGTTTCTGATTATGTTTTATTCATATGTAATCATAAATCACTCACAAATCAGTCCAAAGCCTAAAACTAACCAAACCAGTTCATATTTCTGGCATGAGCTATTCTATTTGCACATCTTTCCAGATTAAAACATTTCTTGTTGTGATATGGAAAGACTCCAGGTACGTGGTGTTCAACGGGAAAAGGTGACAGCATGACATTTAGGAGATGTATGCATGGGGAAGGGAGGAAAAGCAACAGGGAAAGAAGGGCACATTTGCTTTTGACCCACTCAGTAGAAGAAAGTCAAGTGAGCAATAGCTACCTAATTCATCCTTTGATTTAGGTATTAGTAGCACTCTGCTTTCTGGGACTGTTCAGCATAGAGAAGGCTCGAGGGGGATCTCATCAATGTATGTAAATACCTGAAGGGAGAGTGTGAAGAAGAGGGAGCAAGGCTCTTTCCAGCTATGCCCAGTGATGGGACCAGAGGCAATGGCCACAAACTGAAACACAGGAGGTGCAGTCTGAACATCAGGAAACACTTTTTCACTGTGAGGGTGACTAAGTGCTGGCACAGGTTGCCCAGGGAGGTTGTGGAGTCTCCATCCCTGGAGATACTCAAAAGCCATCTGGACATTGTCCTGGACAACTGGCTGTAGGCAACCCCGTTTGAGCAGGAGGAGTGGACAAAGTGACCTCTAGAGGTCCCTTCTGACCTCAACCCTTCTGTGATACTGCTTTGGTCTCTTGTCAGTGAGAAAGTGAGGCACCTCATTTTCTTGGTGGCTCCCTTCAATCGTTCCCGATTTTGAGCAAATTTTAGAAATGCAAAGGGTGCTCCAGCAGCCAGGAGCTCTGGAAGGGACCCCAACAAGCATGTAGAGTTTGCAGTGGGAAGGAATGAAATGCTTATGGGGTCAGGATGGGCAACCTGACATCTGGCAAATTAATAGAAACAAAGCAGGAGTGCAAGAATTACATATTACTTCCACTTCAATCACTCTGAGTAACATTCCTATCCTTTTTGTTTCAGGGAGGGAGAGCTGTGACATAACTAATAAATACTAATACTTCAAGTATCACCTGATGACTACAGCTTTGTGCCAGTGGCATTGGGAGCACAGGAGGGATGCTGAGAACTTCTGTGAAAGGACTTGTTATGTGCAAAAGCAAAGCAGGGAAATCTGGGTGCCTGAATTTTATGACATTTAATTTCAGTGCAGACTACTGAGGCCTTGGTGGTTTCTGGGGTTATAATCATGTTTTTCAGACTGATTTACCATGTCATTCTCCTGCACAGGATGAAGATAAGCACATCAAGGGGTGCTTAGGTCCAGGAGCTTTACAGTGCCAGTTGCTGGTACTGCAAGCTGCAACACTTAGTTCTGGCCATAGAAAAGAATCCCAGACTTTGGGGCTGCAGTGGGATCACACTGGGGGAAACACAGAAAAAAGGGTCACACACCTCCTCCATCTCCTGTGACTAGCTTGTCTTCTTGAATGCCAGCTCTCCTACATGCTAAGAAATAGCTGAGCTGGACTTAATGCAGTGGTGGGCAGCAGAAGAAGTTAGAAGGCAAGTTCAGTGCCAGGCTCAACACTGCCTTTTCTCAGAATGTCCCCTTCCTGGAATGGCTTCCCATCAGCATGGCAAGACAAGGTGGCAATTTCTCTTTCTTCCTTAAGAGCATTTAGCAAAAGGGCAGGCTAGAGGAGGCTGAAACTTTCACAAACATGAACTCTGTAATGCTAAGCTGAGTTCAAGCGAAGGTACAGCACTTTCAAACCATACCTGGCACATTAGGGCAACCGTGACAAGCAAGATACAGAAGTGCAATTGCAGCTTTAATGTAGAAGTAGCAAGTTTTTGTCATACTGAAAATACAACATCTTGCCAAGTTACAACGAAGGCGTTTTTTCATACTCTGCAGTAGACAACCCTGTTATCAAATAATAATGCCTTCATCTTCTGATGGTGCCGTTGGAAGTGGAGAAGGAGCTCTTTTCACATCTTG